CTCCTCCTCCTCCTCCTCCTCCTCCTCCTCCTCCCCCGCCCTTCTTCCCCTCGCCGACAAGACTAGTACAGTGGAGAACCGTGCCAAGAGACACCCTGCTCGCCTCCAGGGTGCCCTGGTCTTCTTGGGTGCCGAGGGCTCTGGTCCAGAGAGCGCGACGTTCCCGCACCAACCATCGATGGACGCCCCGGGGTATGAGGTTTGGTTTTCTCGTGGAAGGTTTTTGGGGGACTGGCCTCCACTGTACGGAAAGGACCGGTACGAGACGCGTCGTAACGCCGCCAGCCTGCTGCGAAGAACAACGAGCACGCTGCCCACCCGTCGTTGTTCGCAGCGGGCCGGCGCCGTTACGACAGGTGAGGCGTTCCAAGAAGGGCCTTGCCTTCGAGGATCGAAGGAGTTGCCATCTCTTCCTCGGCGGAAGGCGGCGGAAGGTCGGCGGCATTAAAACGAGGCCGCCTCCGCGGCCGGAAGTCGGCGGAAACTAGCGGAAGGCTGGCGGAAGGCGGCGGAAGTAAACGATGCCCCCCCGCAAAAAGATGACAATTATTTTGGATTCAGGGTCTCCGGAATCCGCCAAGTAGCAAGTCCCGTCTTCTTCATGATTGTTCCACGTGCTGGCTCACGGAGTTCAGACGCGTGGTGGTTGTCATGAGGGGATGAGCGTTCATCACCACTGTTGCGGAGAAGAAACAGCTGCTGCCCAATGTTGGATTTTGCTCGTTGTCGGTGTCGCCGCGGGCGCTGCAGACAGCGGGCCGCCTACCCAACTGCGACCGCTGCCGGTTTGAGCATTTCAGTTGCTGGGCATCGTGTTCGGGCGTCCACATAGGCTCGGCCACCATCCCAGAGCTGGTCTCGAAGGTCGGCATGGGCTGGTACCAGGCCCCGGGGCAGCGCAAGGGGTGGACCAGCCTCGGGGTGCTATCCAACAGCTGCGCCTCGCCAAGGGGCGTCACGGGGTGCTCGGGTCGTCCCGAGCGGCCACGCGAAAATGACCAAAGGGACAGGTCCAGGGGGGGGAAGCGCATCGGCCGCCAATCGCCCATGGATCGCCGAGGAGGGCCCCGATAGCCCGCCCCTCCCAGGAACGCAGCTGTCGGGGGCCTGTCGCCGATCTATGGATCGGCGATGTACTGCCGATTCCAGGTCAATGCTTCTCCCCCCTGAGCCCGTCCACCCGATCGCTCACCCTCTGTGAAGGTCCTGATGGTGTCGCTGCTCGCGTGCTACCCCCTGTGCGAGGCCGCCGTCATGCTGACCATCAACACCCAGAGCAGGGCGCTCCAGAAGGAGTGGTCCCTCAGCGGCTTCCAGACTGGCAGCCTCGCGTCCATCTCGTTCGCCGGCCTCGCCCTTGGCACGTACGCCTCGGGCTTCCTGGCAGACCTTCGGGGGCGGCGCAGCGCACTGCTGACTTCGTTTCTGCTGATGGCGTTGGTCGGAGGACTCACACCGCTGGCCACTGGCTACGGATCCATGCTGATGTTCCAGCTGTGCATGGGCGTGGCGGCTGGCATGGGGGTGCCGGCCTCGCAGGCGATGCTCACCGAGATCTCGCCCGCGGAGTGGCGCCCCTCGGTGTTCGTGTTCTGCAACTCCTTCTCGATCGTGGGCGAGGCCTACGCGTGCCTCGGGATGATCAGGTGGATGCCTGACCTGGAGGACCCGGCCCACTGGCGGGCGCTGAACATCTGGGTCGCCATCCCGCCGGCCTTGTCGCTGCTGGCCGCTCTGGGGCTGATGCAGGAATCTGCCCACTGGCTGGCCGTCAAGGGCAGGGTCGCGGAGGCCCGGCTGGTGCTGATGCACATGGCCCAGATGAACGGGCGGCCGGAGGCGGTGGCCAGCCTGGGGCCCGCAGAGGAGGCGGACGACGCTGGCACCGATGGGGCTCTGGCGCAGCCCGCGGGCCGGGGCACCTCCCTCGGGAGGCTCCTGGCGCTCGTGTGCAGCGGCGGCGGCCTGACGAAGCTGCTGCTCTTCAGCGTCCTCTGCGTCGCGGGCAACATGGTGACCTTCGGCATGGGGTATTTCTGGCCAACCCTCCTCCGCGTAGCCGCCGGCGCTGGCGAGGGGCAGGCCTTCGGGAGCCCCGCCGCCGAGTTGCTGGTCCTTCGCCTGCTGGGCCTCCCTGCCAACCTGGTCACGCTGTCGGCCGTGGCCATGGAGAACCTGGGGCACCGCGGCATCATCTGCGTCTGTGGGCCGCTGGGCGCCCTCTCCCTGCTGGCCGTGACTATCAACACGAGCTCCCCGACGATCATCTGCAGCAACATTGTGACGACGATAGCGGGGAGCACGAGCTACTCGGTGACGCTCATGTTCCTCAACGAGTCCTTCCCCACCCAGATACGCTCCACTGCCGTCGGCTTCGCCATCATGCTGGGGCGCGCAGGGGCCATGGCCGCGCCCCTGCTGGTGGAGCGGCTCGGCGGCACCGCCTTCGCCTGCGTGGCGGCCTCTGCCTTCCTGGCCACGAGCGCGGTGGTGCTGCCGCTGCGGGAGACCAAGGGCCAGGAGCTCGGCGACTTCGCTGACGCCGCCGAGAGCGCGCCGGCCATGCGCCGGGCCTCGCCCCCGTCGCCGCGCGGAGGAGCCGCGGCGGCGGTGGGCGTGCCCGACCCGCCCCTCGCGCTGGACCCGCGGCGCGCGCGGCACGGGGCGGGGCGCGGTGCCGACGGCGAGGCAGAGCCCGAGGGGCTCGGCGATGACCCGCGTGCCGTGGTGCCCGATCCGCCCCTCGCGGCGGCGCCGGCGCCGCGCCTGCTCGCCGAGGGCACGCTGGGCGCGAGGATCGAGCCGCTGCTCATCGCCGCCGGCCTCGGGGTACTGCCCGGCGTGGCGAGCTCGGCGTACCTGAGCTCGGTGGGCTACTTTGCCGACTCGCTGGCGACTCCAGACCTCTTCGTCTGGCAGCTGGCCGCCGTGCTCGGCGCCGCCTCGCTGGCGACGCTGCTGACGTGGGGCGTGGACCAGGCGACGGACCGCCCCGCCGCTCGCCGCCCGGCCGCGAGCGGCCCGCCTCTCCGCACCGTGCTCTCCAGCGAGCTGCTCGCCGCAGCGGTGCTGGCGACGGCCACCGTCGAGAGCAGGGACGGGCTGCTGGCTCTCGGCGCCGCAGTGGGCGCCCTGGCGGCGACGCTGCTGGCCTGCGGGTTGGAGTTGGCCTCCACTGGGGACACGGCGTCGGTGCTCTGGGTGCACGCGGGTGCAGCTCTGGGCGCCGCATTGCCAGTGCCCCTGAGCTTGCTGTCCAGCTTCGGGCCTGGGGCCTCGCAGGGCGAGCGGCTGGCGTTCTTCGCGGTCCCCGCTGCCATGTGCCTCCTCGGCGGCGCGGCGTTGTGGCGCCAGCGCCGCCCGCTCGGCGGGCAGGCGCAGCCGCTCCTCCAGCCCGGTGAGCCAGCCTCCGAGCTCGCGGAGGCGCCCGCAGCGGCGCAGGCCGAGGCCGCCAATCGGCCAACTTGGGTCCCCGCAGCGGTGGGGGCCGCCTGGCTCGGGGCGCTGCTGGCGCCCGCCTGCGCCACGTTCCTGGTGGTGCTGCTGACGCGCCTGGGCAGCCCCAGGGAGGCCCAGAGCCTCTTCTTCTACAAGGTGTCGGGCGAGCTGATCGGCCGCCTGCTCTCCCTGGCCGCTTGGGGCCGCTGCGCCCGGCACGGGCTCGAAGGACCACCAGAGCCGGGCTTCCCAGAAGGGCCCGCAGCGCCCGGCGGTGCAGCCTCCTTTGCGGCGCCGCCTCCGCGACGCGGCCGCAGCCCCAACGCGGCCGCGGGTGGCCCGCACCCGCCGCCCTCGCAGGCCGCAGAGCCCCGGGCGCTGCCCGAGGCGACGGGCCCCGGGCTCCTGGCCGCGCTGCTCAACGCAGCGCAGGTCGCAGCGTCCCTCGCGCTGGTGGTGCACGCGTCGCGGCCCGGCGGCAGCATCGCCAGCCTCGCGCGGCCAGCGTCCAGCGAGGCGCTGCTCTGGAGCGTCTTCGGCGCTGGCGCCGTCGGCGCCACGGCCAGTTCGCACCTGGACGCGCTGGTGCCGCTGTCGGCGGCGCCTGCGGCGCCCCGGCACAGCCTGATGCGCGTGCAGACGCTGGTGGGGCTCGCCGGCGCCGTGGCAGGTCGGATGTCGAGACGGGGTTGGAACGAGTTGGGACGAAGACCGACAGAGGTTTCTGCCCAGCTTGAGGCGGGTTCACTGCCGGTGTCGCCGCGGACGATGTCCATTTGGGACCTGCAAAACAGCGGCCGCTGGCGGTTTTGGACAACATTTGTTGTTGGATTCCGTCTCATGTTGCTCTGGTCTGGAAGGTCCGGGTCAGGTTAGCTTAGGGATGTGCCAGGTTAGGGGGGGGCTTGAAAACGAAGTGTTCCCGCTGCGACGCTGGCCTCATTCTGTGTTTCCTGTCCTTTCTGTAAATTTTCCCGCTGCGATTTTGGTGCCATTTCCGCGGCTGCAGTCCCTCAGAATGGCGCCCCCGCTGCAGTATTGGCATCATTTCCGATTTGCCCGTCCTTCTGAATATTGTTAGAGAGTTCCGCCCGACGCGTGGGCTTCATGTGAAAGTACCTGTCCTTGACAATGGTGCTCCAGCTCCAGCGTCGGCTGCGTTTCTGAAACCACATTCCTGATTGGCTCACGTCTCCCTGCCATGATTCATACGAAATGCCACACCCTTGCTCTGCCGTGCCCTCCTACGCCATGTCATGTCACGCCATGGCTCGCGGCTTCTACCATTTTGGCATCAGCGTCATCTGCGTCATCCGACTCTGCGAATAGTGACGGGCTCTACGCAGTGGCAAGTGATGGGAGGGAGGGTACGGATACGGCTTTATGAATGCCGCAGGCGCACCTAGCTGTGTGCTACTTGTTCCGTCCCTCCTCCCTCACTCACCCTTCCCTCCCTCGTCTTCTTCCTCGTCCTTCTTCTCCTCGACCTCCTCCTCCTCCTCCTCCTCCTCCTTCTCATCCTCCTTCTCATCCTCCCCCTCCTCTGGACGGCCAAAGAGCTCTGCACGGCGTTCGGGGAGGACGGAGACTACGCAGTGCCACAGAAGTGCGAGCTCGTGCCGTGTTGCCGCCAGGACCACAACATGTACCAGAAGGACCCACGCAGGGTCGCTATGGTCTGCAGGGACACCCTCTCTCGGAAACGGAGCGTGGAGGCCATGATGCAAATTTGCAGGGGCTCAGGAGGCAGTGCGGCAGGGCCCCGGCCTCGCTCGTGGAGCGGGAGCTGCAGACTGTCCCGGAGGCGCTTCTGAGCTAAACGGGGCCCCGTCAGGCTTCGGAGCTCGAGCGCTTGGGCGCGAAGCAGTTGACGAAAGAGGGACGCTTGGACTTTCGGAGACAGCATGTCGTGAGCCACTCTGAAGCCTCCGTCAGCATGCCCAGCCAGATCCCACCCTCTTCGAGACCTCTGGCTTCCCCTCCCGTCATCCTGTGCCCTGCCGAATCCCCACCGTGTGCGAACCAGCCTCCCCCCGCTCCGATACCTCCGACCTCCTCCTTCCTGGCTGACGCACACATGGCCACGGAATAATTAGTTTCGCGTTGGGTTGTCCCATGGTCCACCCAAGTTGGAAGAGATGTTTACGAGTGAACTTGTTCTTCGAATGGCCCAAGGGAAGGCTAATAAGACCCAGTGTCAAGCTCCCTGTGGTTACTTCACGCGTCCATGACTGCCAGGCTGGCCCCACTTCGAGGCCCTACTGCGGTCCCCGTGCATAGGGGGGTCCACCGCGCCAGAGCCATCCAGGAGCTACGCATGTTGTACGCTATTGGTTGCGCGCTTTTGCTCAATCAGCATCGCAGAGTAGAGCACTCTCGAGAAGGAAGAAGATACTGGCGCTAAAAGTGTGCGAATCAAATCGAACCTCCCTCCCCTTAGCCGCCCCGAGGGGATCAGGCATGCCCCGACTTGCAGTAAGCGGGCAGGCGCACCTTTGCGAAACACCCGTAGGGCTTCCACTTTTCCACTCTTAGAGAGGTGTCTGGTTTTTTGCCGTGCATGAGACGACGAGAATTGGGGTTGGATGCGGGCGCTTTTTATCTGCAGTCCCTTCTCAGCGGACGGCAGGGAGAGACTGGATGAACTGAGCCGTTAGCTACGAGATTGGGATGTGGTCAGACTAGCGGCGCGCACGAGGGGGCTGTCCCAGAGAGAAAGAGCGCAACAGCGCGGGTTACCCCATCCCCCATCGCGTAGCGATGAAGTGTTGGGAGAGAAAAAAATGGAAGTTGGCCACAAAGGTTTGCGGAATCACGTTCCTATTCTCGTATCGCATCCTTGCGACGGCATTGCGGGCGATCACGTGGCCACCGTCAGAGATCCAGGGACGACCGGCAGGGATCATAACGCAGACAGACACGATCGATTTTGCAGTGCCCGGTGTGTATTGCACCCGCATGCACTTCAAGAAAGAATGAGACGCGGGCAAATTGATCACGGACAGGCTCGAAAAATAGTTCGGCAATTTTGAACAGGCGGCGCAGGGCCGATGATAGGAAGTGCCGAGGGGCAGGCTGGCGCAGGGCTGGCGCTAGGAGGTGCCGGAAGGCAGGGCGGCGCAGGGCCAGCGTTAGAAGGGACCGAGGACCAGTCGGCGTAGGGCTGGCGGTAAGAGGTGCCGAGGGGCAGGCAAGCGCAGGGCTGGCGGCAGGTACCGATGGGGCAGTGCGGCGCAGGGCCGAAGGGAAGGGGGGCCGATGGGCACGCCGTTGCACCGGCACCGCGCTTGTGGTTGAAGCGCGCTAAGACATGGTTTACATTGGACGTTGTAGGCTTCACGGGGAAGTTGCGCGGGGCAACAAGTTCGATGTTGTCCGAGACGGGTCCCGAACGAAGTGCGTGGAGTTGTAAAAGGCGGAGTTGCTGTCGGACCCGGTCCGCATGGCAAAAAAATTGCACCTTGAGGGACAAGATTTTGGCGTGTCATTGCCTGCCGGGCGTGCCTTGCCACGCAGAAGCGCTCATCGCTAATCGACATGCTTCAGGGTCGCTGTCGTCCTAACGATACGCGGTCTGGGAGCGTGTCGGCCGAGGGCTCGGAGGCGGTGTTTCGCGTCCTGTGCCTTTGCAAAGCGGAGCGGGTTGCAGATTTGCGAGTGCACCCCTTGGACGACTCCGCCTGGACGCTCACCCTTGGGCCGCTTGAGAGCAGGCAGTAGATGCAAGCGCTTTGACGCAAGGATATACAAAACCCGTAGGCTTGCCATCTAAAGTAGTGCAGCGGTTCTGCCCCCGAGCGCACTTGATTCTCATCTCACCACGCCGTGCACCCACGTGAATCCAGCATAAGTACGCTCAATGCATGAGTCCGTGCTAGATAAACCCATGGGGGCACATTGTGTTGCTTCTCCTTTTGGCTGCCGCAGTGTTACCTCCAAGCGTAATGGTGGTCGGCCGGTCCTTGGGATTTGCCCACACTTCGCATCATGGGGCGATACATTCCCTCTGGTTGGCAAGCCACGAATCTAGATGATATCAGGCCAACATGTTTCTTATCGGTATTCCCCTATTCCCTCCTTTCCTCCCCAATTCCAGTTGCCCTTTCTCCTCCTTTGCTGCGTCCGCTTTGCGTGAATATATAAATATATATATATATACACATGTATGAAGAATACTGGCAGGACCATGGGCCATCGTATATATATATATATATAAAAAATCAAAAAACTGCCAGGACCATTGGCCATCGGGGATGCCCACACAACGCGGTTGTCCTTTCTCCCTTCTCCTCCTTTTCCTCTTCATTCATGCTCATCCTCCCTTCCCTTCCCTCTCGTCTCGAAACCTCACTGTCGTTCAGGCCACGGCTTATCGCATGAGTTCGCCTATCGCAGGCCGGCTTGTGCGGTGATCGCCGCGTGCTTGGCAATCCTTTGATTCGCGATGTGGCTGTCTCACCCGGGGCCACGCGGGCCACATGCGGGCGAGCCGCGCGCGCGTGCCCACACCCGTCCAAAAGCAAGAGGCGCTTGAGGCATTGCAAGAACTGAGCTGTCAACACACACTTGACCAGCCAACGGTTTACAATGAACTGATTGCCAGGTGTCTTGGCGATCAGCGCGCGCGCTTCCTCTTGATGAGCACCGGCGCCAAAACACCACCGACGTATACCCATCGCCAATCGCCGCCATTGCCGCCGTTACCAGCACAACATCCTTCAGCATATTCACGATCATCGCCATCGCCGTCACCAGCGTCGGCGCCGTCGTTGACCTTGTCGGCTTCAGAACCATCATCATCAACCTCCTCATCACCATCATCACTATCACTATCACCATCGTCATCGTCAACGTCATCGTGTGATCACGATCGTCATCATCATCATGATCATGATCAGCATCATCATCACCACCATCATCACCATCAGCATCATCATCGTGGCCGCCGTTAACGGCGTCGTCATCATATCGCGCCCGCCCGAGTCACCGTCCCACATGAAGTGCCCACTTGCCAGCGCAGCCTGTGAGACGCGCTGGGAAGTTCCCATTGGTAAGTGCCATCGCGGCTGCATCAACTGTGCCAAACCAGCTGGCCGATCTGCACGAGAGCATGAGCGCGCAAGGCGGTTGTAAAGATACGCTAGCATATGCTGGCCAGTAGTTGCCGCAATGGTGGCCGCATAGTTGTGTAAATCAAGTTGCCGAACGGGGGGGGGGGTAAATTGCGCGAGCAGGTGAGGTGATGATTTCGAAATTTACAGTAATAGTGGAACTATGTAGTTTGCACACAGACGTTTCACCATATTGGCGACAACACATAATAACTTCATTGACCACATAGCTTGCAGTACGTCGACTGCACTACGTAAGTTGCATGACATGGCGTGCACCACGTGGCCATATAGTTTGCACCACATAGCTTGCAGCACATAGCTGGAATCACGTATAATGCACCACGAAATGCGTAGTTTGCGCAACATAGCTTACTCACCGTACCTTGCACGATGTCGATTGCTTTCCATTTCTTGCACATTCACAGCGGAATCGTCCAATGCTTCGAACCCACACCGGCCATCATTGCATGCTTCTTTTTCAGTCCCAGATTTCGAACGCCCGTCTTTTTCACGATCTATACCCCCAAAGGTCAAGCTCCGTTCCGCGGGTTTGGTCTTTCATCCCGAGTCGTCTTGTGAGTTTTCGGGGGGGCCCTGAACCGTCCGTCGAAGTTTTTTCCGCAACGTGATCCAAGGGCCCAGAGGTCCTGACCCCTTCCCCGTAGGTGGCGTGGCGTGGCCGCGCTTGCGCTTCTGCTCTTCCTCGTGCAGGTTAAAAAATAGTAGCGTGCTGGATCCAAAGTTTGCGGGCCCCAGGGGTCCAGAGGCGGCACTGGCGGCTGGCATCGAGGAGCAACGCGAGGATTGGTTTTGGGCGGGTGGTAATTCTCGGCCACGCGCAGAGGGGGGTAGGGGGAGGGGGGAAGGCTTCTTAGAAGCACCCCTGCTTCTTAGAAGGCGCGGCCCTTATCTGTAGATGTAAGGCCGCCGCCTTCTGAGAAGCAGCCTCCTTCTAAGAAGCCCTCCCCCCTCCCCCCACCCCCTTGTGCGCGCCGCCAAAATTCGGGGGTGACCTGAATGCGGGGTGAAGAGAAGGGCCCAGAAGGGCCTTTCAGGACCCCTTTGACGTTTCAGGCCACCCCCTCGCGTGCCACCCGCCCGAATTGCAACAAAATCATATCGTCGGGGATCCGGGACGAGGAGGCCCCCCCCGGATTCTAGAGAGGCCTGGCCCTGGCGGCGGGCTGGGACGCCAGCCAGGCGTGGTCCACCGTCGCGCCCGACGCCGGGGCCGGCGGCGGGGTCGGGCCGGGCGTGCTGCTGGGGCTGGCGGGGCAGCTGGGCGGCCCAGGGCTGCTGTGCAATCGGGGACAGCGGAGGAAAGTGCCCCTGGCAGGGGCGCTCTTCTCCTCTGTGTCTCCCCCCCTTGTCGCCCTCCTCCCTCAGAGGAAGAACAGGTGCCTCTGCCGCTTCCCCCGACTCGTTCTGGCCTTGTCGCGCCTCCAAGG